GTTTGAGTGGGAAGCACCCTGAGAGATCTCCACTATCATTTTGAGCCATCTTGTTTTTGAGCAGGCCAGGTTTGCACAGATTGTTGGATTGATCCGGTGGGGTGCGTCCCAACGTGAAGATCGGCTGCTGCATGTCGCGGTGGCATGCAATGCGGCGGTCAGGTAGTTCATAAGAGGGTGAGTTCGGTGGTCAGGAGGAGAGCTTGATGTGAAGGCCGCAACAGCCAAAAGTCTGGATATGTTGCTGGCTACCCATCTCGCCCTCTGGAGCTATCCAGCATCGATTGGTTCCATTTCCCGCTAGCGGGACGTTCGTAATCCACACGGCAAGGGTCCCATAAGCAATCATGCGGTGCGATTTTCGCTGGAATCCTTGAGGTACAGGTTGGCTGTGGTTTTTGGTTGAGGCTTCGGGATCTTGAGGCCCAGCACGCCAAACTACCTTTTGGCAGATACTGTCCCGAAGCTACTTTGCACGGTTTGGAGAGTCTCTTGATCCCGAAAGCCTTTGTGTTGGTTGCCGTGCGAGAAATCAAAAGCGGGCAATCTCACGGGCTTTCTGTCATGTGCAACCTACTTGCCAAGGGCGACTGCAATTACTGCTGATAATGTCCTGCTTCAACTCCTACTCCTGAGCCTTCGCCTGCGACTACTCCTACTCTTACTCCTACTGGCACTCCTTCTCCTACCCCTACCCTCCTTCGCCGTCTCATCCGTCTCCAACACCAGCAACTACTACTGCTGCTGCTGCTGACTCTGCCACTGCCAATGCCACTGCCTTTGCCACCACCACTATCACTGCAGCACCATTGTTACAGCACGAAGTGAAATCTGGCTACGCGTGCAAATAGTGGCAAGAAGGGTGTCCAGACAGGCATCGCAAGCGTGTTCTGTTGTCTGCAACCCCATGTCTCGCGAGCCTCCACTCCAGAAAGCTCTCCAATCTTGCCTGTAAAGTCGCCCGTGGCTGGTGCGCGTGCAGAAAGCCTGGGTTACAGGATGCGCAGAGCAAACACAAACTGAGCTGCTTCTTGCCATCTAGCATGAGATGCCGCGCCGGAAGCCTGGCGAAGTGACAAGTTGAGCCTTGGGAGCTGGACTTCGCTCGCCTGGCGCTTTCTTGCATAATGCTTGTCAAGAACATGCAAGCCCACAAAGAACAGTACGGGGCATGCTTCCGAATCCTTGTGTAGCAACTTGCTAGCCGCTAGCCGCATCTGCGCAATGTCTTGTATATTCCTCTGGAACAGCCTGGTTCTGTTACTGGGGCATCGTGCAGTGGAATGGCAGTGAAATCACGAAGAGCGTGAGGGTGACGGAGGCTCGACAACGAATTTCCTTGCACCGCTACTACCACTACTGCCACTACTACCACTACTACCACTATTGCCACTACAACCCCTATTACCACTACTACCACTACTACCACTACTACCAGCACTACCACTACTACCACGACTACTGCGACTACCACGACAAGTCCACCGGCTCTTGCTGTGGAGATGTTTTGTTTTATAGAGGGTAATTGAGGCTTTCAGAGTGCCTGAACTATGCTAGACAGTGGCCTCCGTCTGCCTTAAAATCAGTGCATTTTGCCAGCGACTTTGGGCTGTCGTGATGACATGCTCGGCTCCCTTGCAAAGTGAGACGGCCACTCTGACAAGTCTTGGCTTTAGCTCCATGAGAGCTAGTGGACTTAGTTCACCTTGTGGCCAGAGTCCGTCGAATTCACTGCGTGCCCTCCGGCTCGCCTCAGCCGAGCTGGAGAACGAGACGCGAAACCGTGAAGCTGCGAAGCCTCAGTGCTGTTTCCTACGTTCTGGACTGTTCCAAGCACAGCGTTGTAGATCGTTTAAAAGCATGTCGGGTTTGTGCGAACACAGGCCCTGCTACAATGGGTGCACGGGCAATATTCGACGCCCCTATGGGGGTCCAGTGTACAATCAATTTTGGACAAGCGGCGAGTCTTGTTTGTAGATCTCCGACTCGGGTTCAGGCCTTCAGCATGAAACATCGAGAGACTGCCCGTGCCGGCCCTACAAATTTTCGCTCCCGTGACCTCCCACGTCAAAGGAGATCCGTTTCCACGAGGAGCTCCCGTGCAGAAGTTTTGAACTACCAGGCTATACATCTGGGGAGTGCCAGCTGACAGTGTCAATACCCAATGATGATTATGGCAATTACTGTGGCCACTGCTGGCGCTGCTGCTGCTGCTACTGCTGCCGCTGCTGTTGCTGCTGCTACTGCAAGTGCGACTGCCGCTGCTGCTACTACTGCTGCTGGGCACTAGTGGCTACTGGCCACCGGTAACGTTAGTGCTTCTGATTCTACGACGACAACAACCACCACCACCACCACTTCCAACATCACCACGATGTCGACTACTTCCTATGTCTCCTCCTGCTGCTGTTGCTGCTACTTCTACATGACTTCGCTGCTACTAGAAGTCATGGCTACAGCAGTGATGATCTCATGGATGCCTGCAAAACAACAGCCATGATCAATCATTGCAGAATGGTCACAAGGAGAGAGGCATCAGTCGAAACGACACTTCTATTAGGTATCGTGGTGAGGGCAGGAGTGAACATCTCAAGCAATCCTCCTCAGTGCTTGCTTCAGTAGCTAGTGGCAGCTAATGACTGTTGGTGGCAGTGGGTGATGCAAAATCGAATTCTGATAGCGGAGTACAGAGCATATCTGAGGAGAGTACATCACAGCAGTTGAGAGGGGAAAGTCTCCACAAAGAGTGTGCCCTGCGCTCGCTACGAATCATAAAACATAAGCAAAACGGAAATGCTCAAACCATGCTGAGTTTCTGAAGAACCCTAGGCTTGAGACCATAGCCTGATTATTTTTTAGTTCGCTTGCCAGGTGTAGGTGAGCAGCACTCATTAGAACCGTCCCCGGATGTTGGCCTGCACGCATCCGTCGCAGGCAGAGGAATGTCTCAAACATGGTGCACCCTGAGTCTATCCTTTGCCAAGCCCAGCACAAAATGAGCCTCCACCCCTTAGCTGAAATCCTCGCTCGGAAGTCTTTTTAGGTCTCCCCAAGTTCAGACTCGCATGCGCCCCAGCATCAATGTTGAGGCGCAGCCAAACGGATCTGCTCCATGTTCGGGCTGGCAAGACTCAATTCTGTCCGTGTCATCCCTCATCACCTTGTCTGTTTAGGTGTTAAGCTTACAACTTTGACAACTAATGCAGACAAGACATTTTGCTGATGACCTGACAATGACTACTGTACTATGCTTCCGCACGTACGAATGCCAGTCATCGTGTCCATTGCTGCTGTTGAGCTACGGATTCTTCTTTGTATTGACTGTGCTAGTGCTGCTGAATCATGAGTGCTGCTGTCACGGCCCTCTTGCTATGGTGGCCGATGAACCAGTTGACCAATTCATAGATGGTTTCTTTCCCTGTCTGCTCTAGCTTACTCTTTATCTCTCTGCATCCCCGTCTCTCACTCTCTCATTGGTTCCGTTCTGTGCTACATCGCCCTTCTCGTTGGGAAGCTGGGAGCACCTGAACGGAGTTTGACGGTCTCCCAGTTCCCTCCGCACCGAACAGTCGGAGCAGCTTCGAAATCCGAGTTCTCGAGAACTCGGACCTCGGCGAGTGAAAGAAATTCGCGCAAGGTTCACATCGTGTGTGGAGACTGCCCCGCCTCCGAAAAACACTGAACCACACACACTGTAAGCCCTTGTCGAAGGCCAAAAAAGAGCATGTTGCCAAGGATTTCTGTTCTTGGCTTGTCTGGCTGCCGTAGCAATCAGAGCTACTTGCTTCGTTACTTTCGAGAGACTTTGTTGGATGGGAGATGGTTAGAGCGAGGGAAGAAGTGAGGCAGAGGTTGGGTCGAGGACGAGGAAGGGAGGCTTGCGAGGACAAGCAGAGTCTCCGAATTTGATCTTGTTGCCTCCTGGCTTCGAGCCCTGGTGCATACTGTACCCATTGACGTTCTACGCGTTCCGGTAATGAGCCCTAACTACTCCATGGTCTTTTTGGCGCTCGCCACCCAGAGTGTGGCAGCCTTCGCCCCCTCAACGATGCGCCTGCGCGGAACGGCGCGCGCAATGCCTCCAGATGAAGGCTGGCCTGCGTAGGTAATGCGGGGGCAGGGTTATCGAAGCAAGGAACGTTTCAAATTCCTGCCTGGTCTGTAATCGCAAGATTCTCAAGCCTTTCTTTGCCCTGTGCAGGTGATGGCTGGTCACTCCTGACCACTTTCGAGAACACAGCTTGGCACTTGGCACAGCCTCAGTTAGAGACAGCGACTGATCTGCGATCCGAACCACTTGGATCGGTGGAGCAAGTTGTGTCGGCTGTTGGGTCTTCGAAGAACAGCACTGGCAAGTCCGCACCGCAAGCGCCGAAGTCTCTCTCCTCGATCCTGAATGTAGCTGTCGACTCGGATGGCGATTTGGATGATGCCGACGTTGTTGACTTCCTCCGAGAAGGAGCTCTCGCTGGCTTTGCTTGAAGCTGCCGGGCGTGCACAGGCTTGCCGTCGAGAAGACGTGTCAGCAGGCCAATCCCTGGCAAGCTTTCTTGCCGGTGTTACCTTGATACTGGAGGCTGCTGTTGCAGGCTCCGCTGTTGAGCTGCTGCCTTTGTGCCGACAAAATGCCGACGCTGACTCTCTGACTTTCCAAGCGCAGGTGCAACGAGTGTCTGTTCAGGCCCAGACAAGCTTCCAAGCGCAGGTCCCAAACACAAGGTGCAAGGACGGCCCTTAGCATGTCTGGTACTTCAGCTTCAAGCCTAAACCGTCAAGCCGGAATCTTTGGCCTTTCAGTTTGACTTCAGCGTATGCTGCTGCAAACCCCGCCAACACTGCTCGCGGCTCTCCCGGATCCTTTTTATCATCTTCATACAGCAACCCGATATTCACTTTGACAGCCACGCGCCAACCTCAGCAGAGTAAACGAGGAAAGCCCTTACTCATGACATTTCTTCAAGTAAAGCCAAGTCCTAACCCTGGCCCGGCTGGCTGTGCCCATGGCCTGGCGCTGGACCCGGGCGGTGCTGGTGCCCGGGTTTCCAAGCAGGGTGCAGCAGGCTCCACCTGCTAATTACTCCTCCTACTCCTACTCCTCCCGCTCCTCCTACTCCTCCTACTCCTCCTGCTCCTCCTACTCCTCCTACTCCTCCTACTCCTCCTACTCTTCCTACTCCTCCTACTCCTCCTACTCATCCTACTCCTCCTACTCCTCCTACTCCTGCTACTCTTGCTACTCCTGCTACTCCTGCTACTCCTGCTACTCCTCCTACTCCTCCTACTCCTCCTACTCCTCCTACTCCTCATACTCCTACTCCTCCTGTCCTACTCCTCCTACTCCTATTGCTGCTGCTCCTGTTCCTGCTCCTAGTCCTACTCCTACTACGACTGCAACGACGACGACTACTACTACTACTACTACTACTACTACTACGACGACGACTGCTACTACTACGACGACGACCAGGTATCTAAGCATGCGTTAATCCCTGTTCTTTTCTAGATAGTCACACAACTGTTAACTTGATTAGAAACATCGTTTTGCCTATGCAATCATCCAGCCACTCACCTGGACAGCACAATCCATAATATCATCTATCTATCCATCCATCAATAATCACCCATGTATTCATCCATCGACCCATCCATCCGTCCGTGTGGCCGTCCGAACCTTCGGGCGTCATTCCGCATACTGCATTTGTGCTGAAAAAGACGATTTTAGAGGCCTCAGAGCTCACGACGTCTTGGGAATGCGCGTATGACATTAGTATTCGCTAAAACGAATTTGGAGGTCCAACCAAGAGCTCGGGATAGAAGTTTTCGGGAAACGTTCCACGTATTGCGATTGTACCGGAAAACATCTGGAGGCCTCGGGAGCGCTGCCAAGTTGCTTGCGGATTCGGGACCAAAAACCAAAAACCCAGAATGCTTTCCCACAAGTATTGGCGGAATTGCTTTCGCCCCAGTCTTGGCGGATTCAGAAGCAAGACCGACATGCTCGCTCAGTACATCCATGTGCTGGAATTTACGAGGGAAGGTGCCGTTACGCAGAGCAAGGGTTCCTCGAGCGGAAGGGCGAGGAGTCGTGCGTATTCGATACAAGGGATCGTGCCAATCGCACGAAAAGCCTTTATTCTTTCGGATTTTGGTTTACGGCACGGATCGTTCTAGGACATGCTTTCTTGCAAGTGCCAAGATTGTCAGTATCCTCCGATGTCCACGAAAAGACGCTGACCTTGTCGAGTGTACCTCCAAGCATCTTGGATCTTGAGGCATCCTGTTCGGGTTGGAACGGCTTCTCGGAATCAGTTACCACACTGCACACCCCAAGCTCTTCGTGTTTGCTCAGTTCCTGGGGCCCTTAGTTTGGAGGTAGCGATTCTTCACCCGAAATGTAAGACTCAAGCCAAGGGCTCCCTTTCAGGAACTAAATCCCGGCACCAAGTTCCACCAGTTCTGAAGCCAGGAGGCATCTTGACAATTCCGGCAGGTTCGTGGACACTTACACTCTGCCAGCCTGCAGAAGTTCTTCACAAACAAGACACACAAGAAGTACTGCGAAAACTGCGGCTGCTTGGATGGACGGCCGATTTCTAGAGCTTTCTCAACGGGACGGGTTTGGAGGGCTGCGGGTACTGTGTCATCCTTGAAGTCTTGCTGTATCCTTAAGCTCGGAACCCCAGGGCACCAAACACCCTCCCAAGCTTTACGAATCCAAGAGCTGTTCACGGGGCGAAGATTCTAAGGTAAGCCGAGCGCACTTCTTTTGGAGCGCTGTTCTTACTGCGGAGAGGCATGGCCATGCAAGTGGCGCCTTGGGCTCAGCCCGTGACCATAAGTGGGGTGCTGTCGAAATGGCGGGAATTCGGACCTTGGAAAAGAGCCCCAGGCCAAGGGGCATCTCGAGAAACAGCCTTCACGCCTCCCGACTTGGCAATAGAGAAGTCCCGGCGTTGCCCTTCTTGTCGACACGGGCTCGCAACTGTCTGCGCGCTCCTGTCCAGAGCAGCTTTTAACGGGCTTTCCGCAGCTTTCCCTGGGAGGCTCTTAGTGACTCGCAAATCGCTGCAATGGGTCGGGATCCGCTGCTGGAGGCCCGGGAGTGGTACCAGGAGTGGAGCTTATTGAAGCTTATTGGGGCTGATCGGAACGGCTTCCATCGCAGCTGCCGTTGCCAGATTTCCTTTTGGGACTTCATGGTTCCGGCTTTCCATCCTCTAAGATCTCGTGCTTCAGTGAACTTCAAAGCCGTGATGCATCAACTGTGGGGCTGAACACGCATGCACTGCACCAGGACCTGATTCCGTGTGCGAACCACGTGGAACAACACGGGCCAAACCCTTACGCACACTTTTGAGCGTAGTGTCAAAAGCCCGTAAAACCACAAATCGAAGTCCAACCCCTTCCGAGACGGTTTTTAGGCTCAGGGCCTAGGGTTTCAGAAGCACACAAGCCCACAAGCCTGAGCCGACCCGAATCGGGAAGTTATGGAATGGTGGTTTGTCTTCTTGCTGCCAGCTCTTGGAACGGTGCAACTGTAGACGTTCAAATGTAGGGCTTTGTGTTTGAGGCTTCAGGGGTTGGTAGCAGGGCTCATCATCGTGCATAGCTTGTTGGCACCCCAAAGCCTCATGACATCACACTGCAGGCAGTTTTGGATGCCGGGACTTCAGGCAGGATCCTATTCCTGAACCCCCACACCCAACCACAGCACCGTCGTCAATTGATTGTAATCGTACATGAAAATTCCAGGGTGTCGAAGGTGGAGCGTTGCCTGGTGTCGGGAGTGTTCATCGCTACAGGTTCAATTCTTGGGCTCCGGAATTACACAACTGTTTGTGATTAACTATGTGTGTTTATACTTGCATATATATATATATATATACACATGTATGTATGTATGTATGTATGTATTAATGTAATGTAATGTATGTATGTATGTATGTATGTATGTATATATATATATATGTATATATATATATATATATATATATAGATATATTATGTATACATCGACACACGTACGTATGTGTGCACGCACATACCTCCTTACCTGCCTAGCTACAAGTAGGTAGCAGCTACCTAGCTACCTAGCTACCTAGCCACCTAGCCGCCTATAGCTACCTGGCTACGTAGCTACCTGGCCACCTAGCTTCCTAGCGGCCGCGTACATACATGCAATCACAGGCATCCATACATACCTACGCAAATTGCATGCGCAGCTTTGTACTCCTTGTACTGACGTATATACGCATCGAAACAACGCATGGATGTGCGTACTCACTCACGCACGCGCGCACGCATGCACGCACGTATGCATGTATGTATGCACGCAAAGGCATACACACATGCACAAACGTACATACATAGCATGCGTAAATATAGGTGCATATATCCGTAGATACATACATACATAAGTATGTAGCCACGAACGTGCCCACCTACGCATGTACGTGCATACCTACATGAAGACGTACATATATACATGCATGCATCCTTCCGTACATACGCAATATACATGCATACGTACATACGTACATACATACTACATACATGTAGATGCCTTCATACGTACGTCCTTGCGTCTTCACATGCATTCATGCACACACTCACACACACATAGACACACACCCACACACACATACACATACACATACTACACACACACACACACACGCATGGACACGTACATAAACAGCATGTGCACCATTTACTGTACATATAATACCTTTTTCTTGTCGAGCATGTACATATGCCCACGTACATACATGCGCATACAGATACATGTGCATACATACTACGTATATGCATACATACACATAAACCCATAAATACGTACCCACCTACCTACCAACCTACCTACATACATGTATGTGTTGTAAACGTATATATATATATATATATATATATATATATATATATGTATATGTATATGTATATGTATATGTATATGTATATGTATATGTATCTGTATATGTATATGTATATGTATATGTATATGTATATGTATATGTATATGTATATGTATATGTATATGGATATGGATATGGATATGGATTTGGATTTGGATTTGGATTTGGATTTGGATTTGGATTTGGGTTTGGGTTTGGATTTGGATATGTATATGTATATGTATATGTATATGTATATGTATATGTATATGTATATGTATATGTATATGGATATGGATATGAGACAGAGACAAAGACAGGGACAGAGAGAGAGACACTGAACTTTCGGTGTGTCTGCTTCAAAACAGAGGGCCGGGGGCACCTGACTTGTTCTCGTGAGGCTTCAGGGTCGAGTGGAAGGTCGAAGGCAGTGTCGTGCTGGGATCAGGCTTCCGTTCGGTTTCAGGCAGGGGCAAAAGGCACAAAAGGCGGGTTAGAGGCTCAGGCAGGGCACCAAGCACAGAGGGGCACCCGCGGCTTTTATCTACTCTATTCACCTATTTCCTTTCTGAAGCCGTCGTGCTGTTTTACCTGCTACAAAGACGATCGGGTGATCCACCAAAACAGACTGCCGAGTGGCATGGGGAACCAAACGTCTTCGTTAGTCACTTCGCACTTACTTTTCCCAACAGGGACCCAGCCACTGGCCTCTGAAGAACAGAGGCACAAAACAAATTCTGTACAGTCCGAGCCCATCCATGCCAAATAATGGATGGGGCAGCGCGCCCGCGCGGGGCGGGAGGACTGCTCCCGCTCCTAGCCCCTTAGCAAACCAAAGAGAGAGAGAGCGAGGGAGGTGTAGGGGGTAAACCCTCCTGCACCATAGCCCTGGCGAAAGAAAGAGAGATAGAGAGAGAGGGAGAGCCGCAGCTGAACTACTCGAGTCATGCCCAACTTCGCTGAGCCCGAACCCACATGAACATAGCAGCATAAAGACTTCCAGCCGGGGCGACAGAAAGTGGGACAGAACACCTGTTCGTGGGCAACTCGAGAGCAGCCCCAACATCATCAATAACGTGTCCAGGAAGTATGCTTTGTGTTGCTTGTGATGTCGGGGCGAGTATCTTTAGCCTTTCGCATGTAAGACCATGCACTCCGCCAACAGCGGCCAGCCCTACGGTGGGGGGCTTGCCCCTCATGCCTGGCGAAAGCAAGAAAGGGAGAGATGCGAGGCACACATCGTGCGACCTTAGTCTTTTTCCTCCACGGGCCACAGAATCAGGATGCAATTTCTGCATGTCCTGACATCTATTCCTTGAGACATCTTGAGTCTTCTCTGTTGTTGCATCCTGGGGAGTGTCGGGGCAAAATCTGCCACTGATACTGTGCGCACCGCCAACCACGGGCTGTTCCCGCGGGGGCATGCCCTCATGCCTGGTGAAAGAAAGAAAGAGAGGGAGAGAGAGAGCAAGAGCCATTTTGGCTCAAGTCGTCTGCCTACCCTCCTTGTGGGGTGCTCGGTCGCGGCCGTTGGCTGTGGGGGCTGTTCCCCTCCACGGCTGGCGGTGGACGCTGATCTGAGCGGGGGCGGCTTGAGGCCACATATCTGCTGCCCGTTTCAGGTCAGGAGTTGCAGTGAGCCCCCCGTCACAGGAAGGGGAAACCCCGTGCGACCGCACGCCGCCATCCGACCTCAGGAGCACGGTCGCACGAACTTTCTCAAAGCCGGGGACCTCTACACTGCAAGAACTTCTACGAGGGCGCGACAGCAAGCGACCTCACAGACCTCAGCATCGACCTCGTGCAAAAGCCGTCGGGGGACCCGATCCACAGCTACTTGAGTGCTGGGAGAGGAACGCCGCCTACTACAAGTTTGAGCAAGTGGCACGGGGGACGAGATCACAAAGTTTGCCTACAGCAATGGCGGAGTATGAGGGGGTTGTGGGAAGATGCAGTGGACCGATGGGGGGACACTGCTACTGGCCTACACGTGCCAACTTCCAGCTCAGATGTGCTCAACCGTTGGGGGGAAGCGGGGAATACCCCGGCCATGACGCCACCCGTGCCTGACGACGAAGAGAAGAACACTGAGGCTACGGGGGGATGCAAACGTCTGGCAAAACCCCGAAAAAACGCGAACTACAACGAGAAGCGTGAGCGAGACTACATGGGGGAGACGTGATGAGTGCTGAGCCTCGTGCAGTGACGGGCAAAATTCGTATGCACCAGTACTTCCGAAGCAGGGGGGAAAGCTGGATCGGTGTGTGTTTGTGAGGCCTTTTAGTCTTTGGTTGGGTTGTGGTTTGGACTTCGGGGGAACCCTCCCGCTTTCCCTAAGTTTTTGATTCCCAACACCGGGGGATGCTTTTCAAGCTTTACTTCAATCCGAGTTTCAATCTAGGATCGCTGCCGACCTGCAACGCCTAGCTGTATATTAAAGGGGCTTTGTTCCCCAACTCTCAAAACCGCCTGCCGAACGCAATAATAATTCAGATGCACTTCTTGAGGCCTTGTGGCCGAAACTTTCAAACCGCCTGCCGCACTCGATTTCAATTCAGATGCAAATACTTAGGAGGTGTGCTAATTCATCCGGTGTTACGTTTTGCCAACCTCCCTTTTCGAGCAACCCGAGAGATGGTGAACCCCATACGTGAAGCACATATGGTACTGCCCTTAGGCCGGGGAGTGATTGCTGTGCAATTGTTGACATAAAGAGCGGGGGAATCCATCGGCATCACCTTTCGAAGACACAGGTGCAGCCCGAGGGAATCTTTACTTTGTGTTCAAGCAAATTTGGGCAACTGAGGTCCAGGGGAACACCTCTAGACATCACAGCGACAACTTCTTTGGCATTCTTAGCTTGCCTTACTCCTACACAGTCGCTGTGGATTCGGGGGATGTTCTAGCACGTGTTCGAATGCTGTAACATCCTGAGGCATTGTTATGTATGCAATGTAACGGCTTTAGCCTTATGCTCAGGATTGACAGCACTCCTCACTCCCCTTCAATCCGCTAACACAGCGGGGGGGCCTGAATGGCCCGGGGATGTTGACCCATCCCCAAGCCCGGGAGAGAGAGAGAGAGAGAGAGAGAGAGAGAGCAAGAGAACATCGTGGGGGGCCTTGCGGCCGGCGGGTTTCGCACACCCCTCATGCCCCGAGGAAGAAGCAAGAGAAAGAGAAGGAGGAAGAGAAAGAGAAAGATAACCAGAAAGAGAAAGAGGACCAGAAGGACAAAGAGAAAGAGAGAGAGACAGAGCGGGGCAGACAGAGAGAGGGAGGAGAAGAGAGATAAGGAAGAAAAGAATGAAAGAACGAAAGAAACAAACGAAATGAGAAAGACACACAGAACACAAGAACCAACGAGATACAGACATAAGGAGAGCAGGGATTCGGCATTCGAAACAACACACATCACAGACATTCAGTGAATTCGTCCTGGTCCCCGATCCCCAAATATCTAAATCCACGTGCCCTCCTACCAATGCCAACCCCGTGCTGCCCAGACTTCGACGAGCTGTATCGCTCCTTCGAACTGTTGGTGCTGAAGCACCGCTATCCCGTTGGCAGGGAACACCTCTTGGTGATGCCCAAGGCGATTTCAGCGGGTGGGAGTCGTAGGTGGGAGTCGGGTTTCAGAGCTTGAAGGAACCCGAAAATCTGAGTATACTGCACGCTGCGCACCCTACAGTTACCGTCTCGAGAGAGTTCCGGAAGAAGGAGGAGGAGCAGGTTTTTTCTGTTTGGGTTTGTTAGATTGGCATTCAAAGCGAAGCAGGATGATTGTTAGAATAATGTCGATGATGGCTCAGCAGGGTCAGGGTTGCATCCCGGAAGGCAGGTCTGGTCCGCACATCTTTTTCGCGAGTCCGGGCAGGACACTTGTTACGACCTTCGACAGCTGCGGCGGCGCCAGGTGCCCTTCTTGAAGAAGATGTATCAGAAGGCCATGGGCCAGGAACTGCACGGTCATTCCACAGCTCCAAGCCATGTTCTGCGTCAGATTCGTCGTGTCAAAAATTGTTGTTGTCGGAAGTGTTGCCATGAGCAACAAGTGCAAATATGTTCCGTGAAATCGCAAGATGACATTCCGAGTCTGTGCAGCCCTTACAGATGTCTGCTACTCATTGTTTATCGTTGAACTTGCTTGCCTGCACGACATGGAACGTTGGCTGGGCTTCTGCGACATGTTGAGTACGGCTGTTTGGTCACTATGTTTCAAATATTCATTGTTACAGCTATAGATGCAATCAGACGCCTGCGACTGCGACTGCCACTGCTGCACCTCCTCGCATTCTCTTCCACCTTTACGGCTACAACACCAGAAATCAGCAGAAGCAACAACCAAAGCGATATGTACCGCTACAGCAGCAACAAAGAATACTGTTGCTACCGCGACTGCTCCGACGGCGACTGCTGCCACCGCCACCCCCACCGCCACCCACCAGCGCCTTTCTGCACCACCACCACCACCACCACCAGCACCAGCCACCAGCCACCAGCCACCAGCCACCAGCCACCAGCCACCAGCCACCAGCCACCAGCCACCAGCCACCAGCCACCAGCCACCAGCCACCAGCCACCAGCCACCAGCCACCAGCCACCAGCCACCAGCCACCACCACCACCAGCCACCAGCCACCAGCCACCAGCCACCAGCCACCAGCCACCAGCCACCAGCCACCAGCCACCAGCCACCAGCCACCAGCCACCAGCCACCAGCCACCAGCCACCAGCCACCAGCCACCAGCCACCAGCCACCAGCCACCAGCCACCAGCCACCAGCCACCAGCCACCAGCCACCAGCCACCAGCCACCAGCCACCAGCCACCAGCCACCAGCCACACCAGCCACACCAGCCACACCAGCCCACCACCCACCAGCCACCAGCCACCAGCCACCAGCCACCAGCCACCAGCCACCAGCCACCAGCCACCAGCCACCAGCCACCAGCCACCAGCCACCAGCCACCAGCCACCAGCCACCAGCCACCAGCACCAGCACCAGCACCAGCACCACCACCACCACCAGGGCGACATCGACAACTCCTATCCTATACTATGTTACCATTTTGCTTTTTCCACGACTCTTGCAGTACGACTGCAGCGGCGACGTGATGACGGCCACTAGTACTGCTACTGCTACTGCTACTGCTACGGCAACCAATACTGTCACTGCCACTGCCACTGCCGCTGCTGCTTTTGCTGCGGCTGCCGCTGCTACTACTACTGCTACTGCTTTTGCTGCTGCTACTGCTGCTGCTACTGGTTTTGTTACTGCTACGACGATGACAGCGACTGCGACTGCGACTGTGACCACGACCGCGGACGGCGATGACTACGACTACTAGCTCTGATTACTCTGCTTCGGCTGCTTCTGTTGAGCCTCCTGGACCAGGGAATGGAGTGCCTTCGGAGCCTGTGCATGTTGCCCGAGGAGGCACCCGACCCGCCGGTGCCCGGGCCTGCATTGGGTTAGAGAATCTGGTTTTCCAAACCATAGCACCTAACATCTCCAATTTTCAGGGATCTTTGGAATGCACCTTCATGGCAGGTGCTCGGCGACCCCGGGGCTTTCGTTACTCGAACTCCCCACGATCTGCAATTTTTCCTGAGACTGAGCCCGTGCATGCGTCATACCTCGAATCGCTGCGCTTTTTACACATCGATCGGTGTCCAGACTAGGGAAAGCACTTCTCAGCACATATCTAATGTTGCAGCTGAGTTTCGTAAGTAGTGCCAGTGCCCGCGCTAATTCGTTGCCGTCGAGAGTCGCAACAGCACCGTGTCACCTTGGGGAACTGTGTGTTGTCCATCCATATAGAGTCGACTACTTGACACCTGGCTTGTGTCTGTGTAGCGCCACATTGGAATTCTGCCTTTAAGCTCTTTCTGCTAATGTTTGTTGGGTGCGCTGTCAACATTGGATGTACTTGGTGTCTTGCATTCGCCGCAGCGTCGTTTTTGCTGTCGAAAGAGGCATCTGCATATGGATTCGTGCGTTCTGTAGTTGTTGCCGAGTATATTCGTACAAGTATCTACATAGGGTTGCACGTTCTATGTTGTCGCGAAGTGTGTCTACACCGGACTTTTTCTCTTTGGGCTCTTGCCTTTGCTGTCATGGCGATTTTATGGGGGTTCGTGCCATAAGTGCTGTGACTTACTTGTTGTTGGTTGGGTGTGTATTCCGCATCGTGTCTAAATGGAGGATTGCAGTCGTTGTGGCGTCGCTGTTGCTGTCCCGCGGAGTTTGAAGCGATGTCTACATGTGGATTCGTGTTGCTTGCTGTGGTTTGCAGAGCGAGTCTCTGTTGTCTTTGTATTTGGTTTGCCTGCGTGTGCGTAATGTGGTAGTCGCCTCTCCGCCCACTCCATCACCTACGTTTCAATTGCCCCTTCAGAACGGGCCTCGGTCACGTTTTGTGGAGATGGCGGCTACACGGAGAATCGCTGGTTTTAGTCTTAGTTTGCTGCAATGCCACTGATGTTTGTCTTGAGCGAGGGCTTGCGAAATCGAGCAATTATGTGGGGAATGCTTGGTTTTGATATGCTGTTATGCTACTGATGTGTGTCTGGCTTGCTGCTTGCGACATCGAGCGTGTGCATGGAGGATGGCCGGTTTTGATGTACTGCGATTCCAATGCATGGGGATTAGCTTTGCTGTTCAAGAATGCCAAACTGGCGCCCGCAAGACCTGCCCCAAGCATCAGAATCGCATCATCGTCTCCCCTGCCCAGAAGTGATCATCTACTTTCCTCCAACGCTTGAGAGTCCTGAGCTGGACCTTCGGGCCTACTTGGGTTGTTGTTGTGCGTGCGTTATGAAGTTCCGAGTTCCGGAGCCAGCTGAGGTGGCCTGCGGCTTCTCCTATCCAGCTGCAGCTTGGGCTTTTCAGTCGGCTTATGATGAATCCTTGTCCGGTCGAATCTTCAAGCAAGGACTACAACCACCTGCACCTTCACTTGGTTGCGGCGCCCTTCACTCGCCTGGAGCTATTTGCCAGGCGGCGAGGATATCCACACTCGGACGTCCAGCCTTCTTTATTGTCAGATTCTCTGCGTCGCTGCTGTGCTTAGGGATGTTAGAGTCAGAGATGGAGCTTATTCGTACATCCTGAGCTTGGCTTCCAGTTCCCGATTTTCAAGGAGGCTTTTCGGATTGCTTGTTGGGAAAGATTCGTTATCGATGGTTCAAGCTGCATGGCTGGGAAGCAATTTGGGACTAGGCTCGTCATCTTTGCCATCGTGCTTCTCACCCTCCTCGTCGTCTCATCTCCATCATCACCGTCACCGTTATCACACTCGTCGTCACCATCATAACCATCATAACCATCATAACCATCATAACCATCATAACCATCATAACCATCATAACCATCATAACCATCATAACCGTCATAACCATCATAACCATCATCATCATCATCATCATCATCATTATCATCATCAGCATCATCATCATCGTCATGATCACTGTCATCGTCATGATCATCCTCATCATGATGATGATCATCATCGTCATCATCATGACCAACATAGCAGTCGCTAGTTTGGCATGCATCAGCGCAACCACTCGACGGAGTTGTTTCTTGTTTTAGTCCTCTCTCGTGAACCCACCGCAATCTGCAGTCAGGCTTGAAGGCTAGGATTGGCGAAGGAGAGTCTCACCTTCCCGCCCCGCAGAGAGGGGAGACAGGACGTTCAGCGCTTAACCTCATCATCATCATCGTTGTCATCTTCATCATCACCATCATCATCATCGTCGTCATCATCAACATCATCAACACCATAATCATCATCAGCAGCAGCATTTTATGAAAGTCATGACGCAAGGCCCGTGTTCTATCCGCTGCCCGAAGTGGAGGTCGCTGGGGGCAACGATGAGATAAACAGTTCTAAGAGTTTAGCACGCGTGGACTTGATAACAGAAAGGCGCAGATGTTCAAAGCAAGTTTAATATGTTTCCGATACCAGTTTTAGTAGTAGTACTTAGTAGTAGTCGTCGTCGTAGTCGTGGTAGCGGTACCTGCAGGTAGCGGTAGCGCAGTGGCAGTGGCAGTGGCAACGGTAGCAACAATATTCGCAGTTGTAATTGGCAGTAGTACCTCTAGCAGGAGGAGTAATCGCGGTAGTAGCAGTAGCAGTAGCAGTCATGTCGTCGTGGCAGCAGCAGCAGCAGCAGCAGCAGCAGCAGCAGCAGGTGCAGGTGCAGCTGCAGCTGCAGTTGCAGTTGCAGTTGCAGTTAGCCGTAGGAGCATCGGCAAGGGTGGCAGAAGCAGTAGCGATCTGTTCTGACCTTGCGGGGATTCGGGCTCGGATGAGGCTTCTGAGTTCCAGCTTAGGGATTCACGGCTTACTTTTGTGGCAAGAGGGTTGCGTTGTTTTTGTCAGGGGCAGGCTCTTGAGCTTTGGGTTTGGAGTTTGAGAGTCTGGGCAAGCTTAGGTCAGGGAGAGAGAAATCTTGAGTGACGAGTGACGAGTTGCTCTGCCTATCAGGATGCATGGGCCACAGGATGGCACGAGTTCGTGCAGCGGAGACATAGACAAACTTAATTACGAAGGCGGGAACCACCAGCCCAACCAAAGCCCTCAGCTCGAATCCTAGCCGTTGGGTCCCCATGTTGACTCTAACAGCCCTGGGCTATCCCAGCTCTGCTTTCTGCCTTCAGCTCCGTGGCGCAGCAGGTGCAGCTGCAGAAGAAGGGAATCGAGCTTCGGCTTTTGTCTGGCTTCTGAATGCTCTTGAAGTTGCTTTGGTTTCAGCTTCAGATGAGGTCCGGCCGCATCCGGCACTGGATTTAGCAGGTGAGGAGGCGCAGAGTCAGTGGATCTCCCGGCTTGACAGCCAGGGTCGCCAGGGATGAGGAGAGCCAGGAGTCCGACATCACTCTTTCTCGATGCGAAGATCGCCACGGTTGCAGGCCATGCTGTCACCTGGGAAGAGACGGCGCCGACGAGCTTGTGCACAACACCGCTCTTGGTGAACTGACAGAGGGGATCTTCGCGGACCTTTGACTTTGAGAAGCGAGCTGAAAGGTAGAAGTAGGCAGCATAGGCGTGCTGAGAAAGTCTGTCGTTTGACAGAGGTTCTCCAGGCAAGCAGACACGATGGAGCAGCGAGAGAAAACCGGCTTGGTAGTTTGCGTTGCCCTCTTTGGAGTTTCGGGTTTCCGATAGTGGAAGTGTCGCTCGGGTCGTCTTAGTCTCAGTCCCGGCGGAAACAACAAGAACCCACAAACAACCCTCTGAACCCCAGCAAGTCCTTCCGGTCAACTTTCTCTCAGTTTCTGCTGCGTGGATTCAGGCATCCCTACTGACTCATGCATTGTCAACATGCGTGGTGACATGTTGACGACAAAGCTGGAGAGGGCTGACGGGCATGCCAGCTACAAGGCATGCATCCAGTCGTGATAAACGTAGTCGTCGTAGTAGAAGTGGAGGAGTGGGAGTAGCAGCCGGAGCGGGAGCGGAAGCTGTCACTGATGTTTATCGGCCGCTCCGCTGTTCCGGCTCCAGGGATATTGTTGCGTCCTTTCGGCTCTTCACAAAGGGCCCTGCGAGGTGCCGACAGAGGTGACGGTGCCGGGGCCCCAAGCTAAGCCCCGAGGCCGCAGCAGGCTCATGAGGACATGAGGGCGGGAGCTGGGGGTGGATTCTGCATCTCGGATCTGTCCTCTGACTCAGTGCCCTGATCTTAGAGCCCTGCCCTTGCTCAACGTCAGGTGCATCTTGCTGGGCTGACTCAGTCAGCGACTCGTCCAAGACGGAGTGGGGACCCCGAGACATCCGTTTTACTTGCAGTGCCATGGCAGCTTGCTTAGGTTGGGGGAGTAGATGTGGGCGGGGCATTCGATGGTGAGCATGTGGGAAGCGGACAAAAACCACTCTTTAGTTATTGTTGCTGTGGCCTGTAGTGATTGTCGCTCTCCGAACGATGGTCTTTCCCTACTGCACCCCCTACCACCCTACCACTATCGACTGCAGACCGCACCTCCTCTCGCAACGATCCAGCTTGAAAACACAAGTCAGGGCAGGCAAGAGTACTTTTGCTTGCAAGAAGAGTCCGATTTCCAACAGCCTTAGGCAATGCCACTGGAGGCGGTGCGGGGCTCGGAACCTCGTGAAGATTAGCATTGGCGCGGAACGAAACGGACAAATTTGTGCCTGAAGCAGGAGGATTGAGAAGAAGGGGGCTATTCACCTAGTAGTAGGTTAGATAACCTTTAACCTTTTTGGGGTAGTATAGTCCCTATATAATCCCTATATAACCAAACAGGTTAACCTTTAGCTCCCCATGATACCCGACAAGTAGGTCAACGGCTGTTCGTTGGCACAAGGGCCTCATTAGATCTTGGGCTTGCTCGTGGGAAACTTGGAGGATATCCTCGCCGGCTCTGGTTCAATTGCTGCGCGAAGCCAGATTCACCTTGAGCCTCTGGACCGGGCTTGGTAGGCTCATGCTCCCAAGTAGACAGGGCGCCTGTGCGCCGAAAGAGTCTCAAAAAAAGACCAAGAAGATCCACCTTCCGACAATATTGTACTTATCATCCTCATATCGAACCCAATGTGGGCCCGGAAAAGAAGCCTCCACCTTGACCGGTCGGCTAAGCCTGCGGAAATGCTGAACTGAACCGTGGAGGCCCAGGCTCAGGCCCTCCAAGGCCCCCAAGCGCCATCATACAAACACCAGCTTCAGCTGCTGCGGCTCGGGTGCGAGCCATGGACGATTTCGACTTGGTGAACGAGCCTTCCACGGCACAGGCAGGGATGTGCTGGGCACCAGTGCCTCAATCGTTTCCTGGGGGCGTCTCTCGCTGTTCACATTGCCTTTGTCGAGTGTCTTGAGCTTGGAAAGCTTGACTGTCACCAGCAACGCATGCTGAGCACGCAAACTTCCAAGCGGATCTTTCGGTGAAGTCTTCCGTTGTATCTGCTAGCTAGATGGACAGCCTGCAGGAAACATCGTGGGCCCGTTTGTTTGAATGTAGCAAATGAGTGCCTGAAGCACGCAGTTGATGATCTATCACTCTAAACCCCCTTCAGGTTTGTGTTGGTGTCGAAGGGCTTGATCTCAAGCTCATGCAACGTGAGAAGTGGGATCTCGAGTTCAGTGTGCTGTTTCCGCGCTGGGCGGCAGGTGCTGATGGGTGCCAGGTCTCGGCCAGGGACAGGACGCGATCCACGTGCCGTGGCCGCTTGGTTTCAGCTCAGAAGGGCGGCTCGGTTGGTTGAGGCTCTGCGTTCGCGACTTTGAAGTTTTGCCACCTCCGAGGGCAAGTATAAATCTCCCGAAACGTAAGCCTCAAGAACGAAAGCAAGCCTTCAGCCACGTAAATCTTGAAGAAAGGGCTATTGGTTCTGTAGTCTTTGTGAAAGGGTTGTTGAATGTTGTTGACTCAGGTGGAGCAAACTTAGGTGCCGGAGATTCGGCTCTGGCTTGAAGACCCCAGCCCGATTCACCTCTGACCGGCACGTTAGGCCATTGAGCTGGATGATTTCGACTTCGACCCAAACCCGTCGCTGGGCAGCTGTCAGCTCTGTCACGTTTGCAGCGTTCCTGCTCGTGCATCCAAGCCAGAGACTCCAAAAGCCTGAACTGTTATGGGAGATGTGGCATCAGCACCTCCAGGAGTTTGAAATAGGAGGTGCTCATCCGAGCTCTTCAGTCCTGGGGTGTGGCACACAGAAGTGATTCTTGTGAAGCTCGACCTACACTTTGTGCTGCAAGGTCGAGCACCCGAAGCCCAAGAAACTGAAAGTGCAAACAGTTTCCCGCACCAGAATGCCTTGGTTTCTCAAACGGCCCCAATCCAAAGCAGCGCTGGCTCGCGTGTCGCCACACTCAAGTCTTGCAGCCGAGTCATAAGTTTTCACCAAGGTCTTCCTCTGCCTCTTCCGGCCCGGCGAAACCATCGACAGGCGTTGCCACTGCTGTGGTTTCAACTTAGCACGGCTTGGACTCATTCCTTTGATGTACTGTGATCTTGTTGCAATCCTTTTGTCTTCACCGAAGTACATGCAGTTTCTCATGGCATCATTACCTTCTGGCATATTCAGAATGTTCGTGTTCATCTGCTGCTGTTTGTGCTGTTCCATTGTTGTAGTTTCTTTATGTCTACAGCTCAGACTCCTACCATCATCTGCTTTGCATTGCTTTGGTTATACTCCTTTGGTCTTACTACGGCGTCATATTGCCGCAGCGTCTCACTGCTTAGGTGTGTTGTTATGTATGTATGCAAAGATGCATTTATGTATGTATCTATGTGTATATATATAGTATCTATATGCGCGCATATTTGTCTACTGTCACACACACATATGTATGCTTTTATTGTAAATACACCTTTTCGTTTTCAAACTTCAACGGATGTTATTCGGTTGTCGTCTGATGATCCTTTCTTGACATGTTGCCACATTGCTATATGGTATGCTTTTGTAGCACCGCATCAGCTACATCCTGTTACATTGTGATGTGATGCTATTGTTCGGCCAGTGCAATCCATGTTTGTACGCTGCTATCATGTCATGCCATGGCCATCTACTGCATCGTGACTGTAACATATTCGTTTCATGAGGCGTTTCATTTTGTTGCAATGCTGCCTTTTTGGCACCACTATTGTGCCGTATGCATTGTATACACAATCAGACTGCACTGCACTGTTTCTATGACAACATGGGTGCTTCTATAGAATACTACAGTATCTTGTGGTATGCTCTTTCAACATACGCTGTATGGTTTATGCCTGTGATCAGGTTTCGCCTACCTTTGAATTGTTTTGATATTTTGTCGTCATCCGTAAGTAGTATCACCTGTTGGGATTGTCATGTAGTCTCGTCTCTGTTGCGTGGAAGTTACAGCCACGTCCACGGGCATCGATGTCGTTGACCCGGAGGAACTGAAGCGGAGGACAAGACTTTCTGCTTATGCCGCTTCCTAGACACGGCCTTTAAAGAAAGCGTCTACCCCTTGCCATCGTAGCCTGCTGGGTGTTGTTTCAGAGCACAGCGACGGCTGGGGTTTTGGAAGGAGATGTTGACCGGCTTCCGGGCCCTGGAAGTTTGAGGCTTTTACTGACCAAGCTTGTCATGAGCTTCAAGTAGCGGGTTAAAGCGTGTGCGTGTGTGCGGAAAGCGTATGTGTGTGGCCGTTGCTGAAGCGTCAGGATACGCGGTACGGGCTCCGTGCCGATGTGGTCACAGCAGCTGCGAGAGCGGACTGGAGACGCCCGCACGACATTTGGTCGCTGCCACTGCAGCTCGTGATGCCAGCTATTGTCGCTTCTGTTGAGGCTGCTTATGCTACGGCTGGTGTTGCTACGACTGCGGCTTGTACTCGTAGTGCTGCTATTGCCCTTGTCAGGATTGTAACACTTACGCAAACATTGAAACCAGCTGTTCACCCAAGGAGCTGTGTAAAAGCATGGCCGACCTGGTTCAGCAGCAAGCCCGCGAGAGGCTGCTGGACGGCACTGGAGCTGAGGGGTTCATTGTTGTATCTTTTTGGCCATTCCTGCAACATGTTTCTTTTTCTATGTAGGAACCAATATTACCTACGCTCGCTTGGATGATCGAGGCCCAAAGTCGCACTCGGCCTCTTCGGGATCTTGCTGCTGCTGGCAATGTTCGGCGGCATCTGGCTCACAGCCAGGGGTGCAGTGCCCTTGCGAGGAATTCGAGGGCCCAAGTGGGGTGTGTAGACAGCAGTCGGGCCTTCACATGGGACTCCTGCATGAAACGCCTCCTTCCTTCCTACCGTTGTAACTTCCAACGCTTTTATGCAAGAGGTGTTATTGTATGGGGGACGGGAATGGATGGGAGCTGATCTGGCCTTCTCTGATGCTGCTGTGGAGTCGGCGGCAAGAAT